GGAGAAAAGCGTTAGAATCTACTTTTGTTTATCAAATATTGATTTTCACCTTAATTTTCATGGTTTAACTATGTTTATTCCCTCAGAAGTCAGACTAAAATCTATTTTTGAGTCACAGAAAAGCAGAGAACAGAGGGCCTTTCTTTTCCCTCTTCCTGCAACCGCTTTCCCGATGTATTCTGTATTCTTTTGGTTCTGAAGATTTGATTCTGGCGCTGTGTAGACGGCGTCCTCTCCAGTATCTGCTGGTAACCTTAACCTCCTGAGACACTGTGTCCTCATAAGAGGACGTTGCATTTTTGTCTCTCTTTACCATGATACTTCTTTTTTTCTTTCAGCTTTGACCTCTTGACCTCATAGCAGATGCTATCAGACACTGTTTGAAATCTAAAGTAAAATGGTTTTATACATTTACATCCAATCATGTTCTTATTGTGTAATAGAAAAACTGTAAATGAGTCAATGGGACTGTCAGAACAAAATTGTAAAAACATTTAATTAAATATGTATCTCATATATCTTTAAAAAAAAAAAGCTAAAATGCATGCCAAATAAAAGCTCGGGTCTCAGGAGGTTAATTTCCTGAGGGAGTCTTCCCAAGGGATCAATAAAGTTCAGTCTAAGTCTAGAAAAGCCAGAGGGGGGGGGGGGGTTTACTCACAGCCCGTGTCCCTGCTCAGCTCCTCTGCCCCCGGGACGCTGCTGCTGCTGCTGGAGCCCATCCTGATGCTCTGAGAGGCTGCTGCTACCAACCGGCCAATCACAGCCCAGCACCCGCCCCGACCGGCCAATCACAGCCCAGCAGCCGCCCCAGCCGGCCAATCACAGCCCAGCAGCCAGGACGGCCAATCAGGGCTGTGCAGAGACCCCTAAAGGGGCAGGTGCTCAAAAAAAAAGGGGCACATATTATCACATTAGGACAGAATATTAACAAATATACAATATATAATATAACAAAGTCACCCAGCTTTCAGAGTTTAATGAGAAATGATAAATGACAAAATTGTGAGACATACAATCAGAGCTAAGGGAAATCTCTACATAGAACTATGCGTATGTAAAATATTTTATTAGTAATTTCTTTCTGCAGGTCTATTTTATTTTAGGAAAGTATTACAATACTCAAACCTGCAATTTAGCTAAATATGTCAATCAGAGCTGGACCACCAGACATATTTTGTCTTTACAGAATTAAACTGTTAAAATTAAATACAGGGGCACAATGCAACCTTTAAATGTGACCAGAGGGCTCATTTGTTGTTTTTATTGCACCGACATAGTGAGTCCATCTACAGTTGAGAGGCTAAAGGAAGGTTCCCAAACCCAAACAAAATATAGATTATATCGTTTCATATTTTATTATATAGTTTAATGTTAGGTTATATGCTATAATATTGTATTATGTAGTGTAACATTATATTATAAAGTATAATATGTCATATATTGTAATATTATTTTAATATAGTGTAATGATATATCATATAATGTAATATTATGTTATATAGTGTAATATTACATTATATAGTGTAATACTGTATTATATAGTATAATATGTTATATAGTGTAATATCATATCATATCATGTAATATTATGTTATATCGTGTAATATTATGTTATATAGTGTAATATTATGTTATATAGTATAATATGACATATATTGTAATATTATTTTAATATAGTGTAATGATATATCATATAATGTAATATTATGTTATATAGTGTAATATTATATTGTATAGTGTAATATTATATTATATAGTTATATATTATTTTATATGGTATAATATTACATAGTATAATATTATATCATATAGTGTAATATTATGTTATATAGTGTAATATTATATTATATAGTGGTATATTATTTTGTATGGTATAATATTATATAGTATAATATTATGTTA